CACTTGCAGCCACCCGCCTCGCTTCTCCGCTCAGCTTCCGCCCTTCCCCTCTCCCTCCCTCTTCCCACACCCTCATACCAGCTCCGCTCCGCCTCGCTTCAATTTTACTGGATCCCCATCCTCATCCTGCAACCAACGTATCTGACGAAGTCCTAACTCAAGAGTATTTACGAGAGTTAATTACGCGCCGAAAGGTGTGCCAGTGACCTCGGACACTCATGATTAACCTTCCAATTCCCCTTCCAGTTGACAGCTGCACACTCGTCGCGTGATTATCAGCCTTTCTCTGACACCTCCCATTGTGTTCGCTGTGCACGCAAACTGACGCTACTATACGCTGACTAGGGCCCAACAGTACGCTTCCCCTTCAGATCCGGGAGGAAAGCAGCGCCAATAAGACCTCAGACCGGCCTTCCTTCTCGCCCCCATGCTGCCTTCTTGCCCCTCCCCCAACCTCCCTCCGCGCTCCTCGCCCTGCATCTTTTTTTTTATCTGCTTTCCACACTCCTTCGTATTTCCCTTCGTCCCCACGTGCTCCCAATCGGCCCGACTCTGATAGGATTAGCAGGTGCCGGGGTCAGTCTTTTGGCAACAAAGTAAGACGAGAGCATGTTGGAAGATTCCGTCTTTGGAAAGATACAATCCCAATCGAATAATTTGCGAGTTATTCAATAAAGGAAATGATATTCCTCTCAAAATAAGTATTTTCATCAAGTGCATCAATATAGAATAATATTGTTCTGACGAAAATAATATTTTTTCTGTCATTTTTGGACAGAAAAACTTGCACTTTTAATGACGAATAAAATTGAGTGTATTATATTAAATCGTCTCGATAGAAAATGTATGAAAAGAAATGAGTAAATAAAAAGATTGTAATTACATTTCACTTCCACATCAGACAATATCTTAGAAATGGAATACGAACGTATGTTTTATTCCATAGATTGCAGGATTCACAACCTATACATTAAAAAACATTATAAGACTGTTGTCAATTAACGCTCCAGATATACAAGTTCGTGAAATATTTTAATCAATTTGAAAATGAGAGAAAAATGGACAAGGGTACAGCAATTTGATATCTTTTTAAAATATTACGTTTACCCTATATGTAATTGTCACCATCCCGTCACCTAGTTGAATGCAATTACGCTCGAAGAATATATTGCGCAATTGTAAAGAAATCAAAATTGTGACTACGTTACTGAGGAACAATGTATTTTAGTAGCAAACTTAAATTTTTTTTTGAACAAATTGAATTACATTTACGGTTGAAAACCTCTTCTATCTCGGTAATATAACTACATATTTCTTCGTATCACGCAAAGGTAATCAACGTAAACACGCGTGTCGTGATAAACGACCTTGGTAGATGAAGCTCTTGACAATCTCGCGTGTGTTGGAGATTGCATGTTGAGTCCATAAATACAACCATTATCTCCGCCGAACTGGCTGACTCTAATAAGCGCGACACGGATCGCCTTGCCATATGCCGCTTTTGCTCGCTAAACGCGTGCAAGCTCGCCCTTTGATACGGCTTCCCTCCGTGTTCGTTCCGTGGATCTGAAATGGGGTCGCGCAAACGCAAAAATCCTCTTTATGGAGTTTCGCCCCGAGTGGAAGAGACTTGTTGCTTTTCCAGTGGAGCGACAAGTTTGACTTGAAAGTTGGCATCTTACTTCGTGATGATACTGAATTTACGAAGTACGGAACTTGTTGATAACTGTGGAAGCAAAGAAGGGGACTCAAGTTTTAAGAATTTCTTTTGGAAACCAGTTATGCGCAACACAACACATTTAGAACAGAGGATTCGCGAGTGTGCCTAAATATCGATTGGTGAGACACGAAGTACAATACTTGGCCTTACTGGTAAGGGGTGGGTGAGATTAAATATTGCATCTTGTGGCGCGCCCTTTTAGTTATTAAATTTGGTTGACAATCACGTTTAAACCATCTTGACAATGCTTATTTCTCGAAATAATCCCTATCTGATTTAATTGCTACCGTAATGTGAATGTTGTTTTTCAGCATTCACCATTATGCTTCATGCTATTCGTAACATATTGAATAAAGTTGAAATATTTAGATCTTGTCGGTCATAACGTACCATTTTGCGAAGATCTTACTAATCGTCTCACGTGCATGGCGGGTGCACTGTGAGACAACTAGCGGAGAGAATTGTTATACAGAGAGGCGACTAATATTTCTTTTCATCTTTATATTGTCACTGTGCCTTAACATCAACTACTTTCATCTTCTATTCTGATTACAGCGGTAAGTGATTTTGAATAAAAAACTGTCTCAAATAAATAAACTTCCAATTAAAGAACATTTCAAAGCAAACGTCCTCTCAATGTGATTGATTTTTAAATTTTGAAACACATTGCAAATGCTTTTTTACCTAATTATACAGATACTCATGTAAATGCGTTTAGAATGAATTACAATGCCTTCTTTTCATCAGAAAAAGAACTTGAGATCCAATATACCTTTCGAAGATAGTCACGTTTCTAAGAAATAATTTTGAGAAATTTGCAATATTTATAATACTCGCATAACTAATTAAGCAAGATTTGGAATAAAAATGTTTCCAAATCTTTGCAAATTTACATATTGATGAGCTTTCCTGTGATTTTTTAACTTAAACGTATAAAATTATGCATTTCACTCATTTAAATGTTATCAATCCTCAAAATGTATTGTAAAACTTGAAGATGATATTTCGGATTTTGAAGTGTTTATTCAGACGATTCTGTACGGTCAGTTATATCGATCCATATGGCCAGACTACTCTACATGGGCAGTATTCGTAACGAATAGTTTCATCGACAGAGAACAGATGTTGGATTTTATGCCAGTAAATTTCCTCAATTAGGCTTCTTGGCCGGTTGCGAAACCAGCCTTTCTCGTAAGTTAAGTAAGTAGAGTAAGTAGCAAGCCAATTCAGTCTTTTTCTGCATTCACGCCCGCAGAATGAGCGGTGAATTATTCTGTGAAGTCGAGCGGTGGCGAGCAAGTTCGCAAGCGGCAAAGCCCTTAGAGCGACATAAGCGCAAAGCGCGCTCCGGGGTCTTAGCGAAGCCCCAGGCCCCGAGCGCCGCGCCCGAACCTCCGCGAATCGCCCTTCGGACCGACTACGAAAATTCTCGAATAAGTACGGCACGTTCTTGTAATTATTATCATGAGTCATTAAGTACTTTGCAAACAGCTAATTTCGTTTCATAATTTTCTGAATATGTTATGTTTCTCAAACAATGTTGCGTTTATTACGCTTTTACTGATACACTGTTCGGTGATTTGAAAATGAGAGAAACATCACGCATGGAGAATACAACTAAAAGAAGTCATTGCATCAGCGCCCCTCAAGTTCAGCGCAGCCGGTCTCAGCCATCTGAATGCCCCCTCCCCCCCCCCGCCAACGCCCACCACCTCAGCGCCTCACCCTCCCTCTCCGAGTCGATATCACACTGGCTTCGCTCTCCAGATAAGCCTCCGCGGCGTTAACGAGCGCCGCTATCTCGCCCCCCCCGCCCTCTCCACGGCCTTCGCCCCACCCCGCTCCCACCGAGTGAAGAGTGCTCCTTGGAGCCCTCGGTTCGATCGCGACGGCTGCGCTGCTCCTCTGAGTGCTCCTCCCCCACTTCCCCTCCCCTTCCCCCACTCACTTCCACACTCGTTTTCTCCTCCGCTTCCCCTTTCGGCCCTCGGTATCTCTTCAATTTGATTACTACCTTTTTTTGTTAAGTAACTGCGACTAAACGATTTCCTAGTGAACTTGATAACGGAAGAACTCATCGCTCCTCCGTTTTGCTAAATGAGTTTAAAAAGAGACTTCGAATTCTTCATTCGCTTGCTGCATTTTCTGGCTGAAGATGAAACTCGTTACGTGAGCTAGCTGTAGCGATTTTCGTGACTCGATTATCTTGCGTTTTACATAGCGTAGTATCTTCGATTGTAGAGCAATCACTTTGATGTTGGCTTTACGTAAAATATTTTAGGTCTTAAAACTGTCATATACTGGGCTCGAAGAGAACCAATTGACAATTCAAAAGCTGAAATAAAATGGTCAAATATATTCAGTTATAAAAGAGTATTTAAAATAAGTTTGCAGAATCCTAAGGTAAGGCACCGGGAACTAAAAAACGCCAATGAGCGTTAATAGATCGGCCCCTGGAAAATAATTAGGCGTGCGTCCACGCGAGCTTGTCACGCGAGTGCGAGGCAGGCGGAGCTCTCTTGCAGGTTTCTTGCAGTGGTCGGGGGGGGGGGCGTGGTCGGCCATCAATCCTCGGCCTCCCCCCCCGAAGAGATAAACCAACTGGGTGGCAAGCAAGATTTCCCTGCCGCTTATTCTGACTTAAATGTGACAAATAGGAAGGAAAATGAATGTATTTTTATTATTAATAAGACTTTTTTACTTCACTTTTTTTTAACATAACAACTGGTCTGAAAATTATCCGCAAATAATTAAAATTACGTAAATTTATAAGTAAATAACGGCAGAGCTTGAATAATTTGCAATAATATATTTTCTCGCGTTCTGTTCATTGTGATTTTATCTATATGAGTTTATTTTCGTTGGATCTCTCCCCTCACCTCTTTTCTTCTCCTTTCTCTCACTCTCTTTCCTCTCTACCTTTCTCTCACGTCTCTCTTCCTCTCTACCCTTTCTTCTACTCTCTCTTCCTCTCTTTACTCTTTCTCTCACTTCTCTCTCTACCTACTCTATCTACCTCTCTACCTCCTCTCTCTACTTTCTCTCTCATCTCTCTACTCTTCTACCTTCTTCTACCTGCTCTCTCTAACTTTCTCTCTCACTGCTCTCTCTCTCTCTACCTTTCTCTCTCACTCTCATCACGCTTATCTCTACTTTCTCTGTTCATTCCTACTCTATCTGCTACGCTTTCTCTCTTACTCTTCTACCTTTCTCTACTTTCTCTCTTACTCTCTCTACCTCTCTTCTACCTTTCTCTCACTCTCTCTCCTCTCTCTCTAGCCTTTCTCTCTCTCTCTCTTCTACCATTTCTCTCTCACTCTCTCTTCCTTTCTCTCTCTCAACTCTCTCTCTGCTCTCTCTATTCTCACTCTCTCTCCATAATCATATTTAATGTAGTTTATTTCATTGGCAATTTGGAAATACAGAATTCAAATAATAAAAATAACAATCATCAGGCTGCAATTAAAAATAAGAGTTAAATTTAATTTTTCTATTTATGTTAATCCTCAATCTATTGATTTTATTTTTAAAATATTCGTATTTCTATATGACCGTATTATGTGTTTCATAATAATTTACAAGTACACGCTGCAAAAAACAGGAATAATATCCAAGAATCGCACTTTTCTAAAAAAGTATTTCCAATTTCTTCCATATATGCAGAAAAACGGCATTTCATACCCTAATCGGTAGCGATATATGCACTCTTACGACTTTTGCCGAAAAGATTAGATAACATAAATATGCGCTGAAATTAGGAAATTATTTAACGTGAGATTTGCAGTTAGACTCTCCAATAAGGCTGCCATGGACAACCTGCCCGGTTGTGAGGTGGTTTTGAATTAGCAAATGAAGTTGCAAAACACGCTAAATCGGCCCTCTAGCTCATGACCCTCCAGCGGTGGGGCCTCCGAGGCTTGAACCAGGTGCTGGCAAGCGGGGCTCCAGAACCGCCCCGCCTCGCCCGCTCGCCGCCTCCGCCCCCGCTCCGCCCGCCTCGCGCCGCTCCGCGCCGCCTCCGCCCCGCC